CAACGTCGTTGCCAAGCGACGAAAACCCAACCCCGATGGCAAACACCGGGGGGGATAGTCTCGCGTGTGGGGGTGCCGAAAACGCTGCGGGGGCGGTAGGGTGCCTGACGCGCAACAGCTCGCGGGTTTGCGACAACTAATTGATACATGAAAACCCCAACAAATCAAGACATGACGAGACACGCTACGGGTGACCCTATGTTGTCTGTGATGTGTCCGTCGCTTCCACATGTTGTCTGACCTTTCGCGGCTACTCCAAAAGGCACTAACCCTTACCAAGCCCTAACAAAAGAACGCTGTTACCGCCAAAATGGCACACCGTTGGTAAGGGGGGTAAGGCTATATTCGACAAGGCGTGTCCACACTCGATGTTGTGCCCCCCGTAGAGAAGCAGCGCCATGGTAGGATGTTTCGCGGTGGTCGTCCTGGCCGCTTCCTTCCCATGCAATCTTCGTTTCGTTTCGCTCATGTGGCAGTTACCGCATTTATTTGCAGCACTACGTGGATGTAAACCCCGAAATAGGTTCAAGCGAAGAAAAAAAAACAGTCAGAAATTCGCCTGCACGTCGCACACTGGAGGAGTCACAACTCACATCCGAAGTAGCCGTGACGGTATTCTTCGCGCATTCCATTTCCCCCAAGTCTTTCGACCGGTCCACCACGTCGGGCACGAGCGACAGGGCGACGTTCCCAACCACGGAATCCCCCCTCAGCATGTGGAAAATCACGCCCTTCACCAAGTCAAGCACCCCTTTCCCGCCGTACTTGTAGCCGCCGTCCCTGACGACGAGACCCTCGATGAACACGCTGTCTGCCTGATCCTTGCCGTCGCCCGCCCCCCCTCCCGCCGGCAACGCATCCGCGGCACCCCGGGCGACGGTGTGATAGGACGCTAACGGAGACTCCTGTATGAAGGCGTTGAAGGCCATGGAGCCGACAAACCCACCCGGCTCCAGGCGACACACGTCCTCACCCTCCGACCTCACCTGTTATTGTTTTGGAACATGAACATTCACGTAAGCGATTCGTTGCAGCAGCGACCCATTTCATTCCTAGCATTTTCTTGCGAAAGCGAATGCATCTAGCACGGTTGACACCACCGCACATCATCACCTGCCTGGTTCAGGTGCCGCACCAACTGACATCTGCATCGTACGAGCAGCATTCACAATTTCCAATATACGGTTTTCGTAGCTGGCTACCGCTGCGATCTACGCTACGCCCCAAGCCTCGGCAAGACCAACCTCATGGCCCCTTGACCCACATCGGCGGTGCCCTCGACGATCAGAAACATCTCCTCGTGCGGTCTGCCTTGCTGATTGATATCGTTGCCCTCAAGCACAACTCGCCGCTGTGCCTGGCCCATAAGCTGCATGAACTCCACAGGATTGAGGTCGACCGGCATAAAAATGTCTTGGTAAATTCTCGCCTGCGACGAAACACGACGGGATTCCACGAGCAACTCCAGCGTTAGAAAGTGGAAAACACTGGGGGAGGGGCATGGAAAACTTCTCTGTGCCAAGTGACCGTTGCAATGCTGCAAAGCTCTGCGTTGCCACACCTACTGCTGCACCTGTTCAGGGTCCTTCCCAAACTCCTCCGCGTCGTCCTTCTCTTTCCACATTGCCCCTATCAGGGCCGCGTTGATCGCCAGGAAGAACAAGTTCCACTTGATCGAGATCCACAGCGGCGGCGTGCGGTAATAGCTGAAGAAGAGGTTCAGGCCCGATCCGGCGACCACTAGTTCTCTGAAGAGGGAAAAGAGGATGATGCAACGTGCAGAGAGATATTATGGAACTGTCTATTTACGCCACCGGTGGCGCAATTTCTTATATGCGCCACCGCTCTTATCTCCGCCCACAGAGCTTCAATTGGCACAAACTAAAAATTGTGGTGTAGCTATGACCCATAGCAATCATACAAGCCAACTTGAAGCAAAATCCATGAAGGTCTGTGGGCTGAGATCCGGGCGGTGGCGCATATAAGCTTATATGCGCCACCGCCCTACGGTGGCACTGTACCCCCGTGGGAGGGCATATCTCGGCATCTACTGGTCGGATGGACGTCCCAGATGGCTTGAACGATGGCTATGGACGTCCGTCGACCAGCGCAATTTGTTTGACGTCGATTGGAGCTTTGGTNCAGCGGCGGCGTGCGGTAATAGCTGAAGAAGAGGTTCAGGCCCGATCCGGCGACCACTAGTTCTCTGAAGAGGGAAAAGAGGATGATGCAACGTGCAGAGAGATATTATGGAACTGTCTATTTACGCCACCGGTGGCGCAATTTCTTATATGCGCCACCGGTGGCGTAAATAGACAATTCCTTCACACTGAGGAGGCCGAGGCGGATAATTTGAAGTTGAGTTTTGAGTATGCTGCGTGTGTCGCCCCCATGCGACCCATGAACGGATCCTTTTTTTTTCCCTTGGGATGATGAAAACCCTCTTCACAAGAATAATCCAAGGTAAAACCGACAGCCTCTTGTGTGTTTTCGGCACGTACTGGAGAAGTATGGTGGAAGTTTGGGCAATTTTTTCTTGTTGAAAAAAGTAAAAGTATTGTTAGAACCAAGCACACCACGCGTGTGGCGAACCAAGCATCGCGACGCGGGAGGAGGTCTGACGGGGGGTTTACCCCCCGCCCGGCACCCTTGGGTGGACCAGCAAACCACGCGTGAGGTGAACCAAGCGAACCACGGGGGAAGGCCCGTACTATTGAAGTGGTATTTACTGCTTTGTCACAGCAGACAACAGGCTCTCTCTGCTGTCACCCAGCTTTCCATGGCTACTCAATGAAAGCAGCAGAGGACACTCCATCTACAGCAGCAGTAGTATCAACACTCCATCATGTACAAGTATGTAGTCAGAGCCTGCAGCGGCAAGTAGATTTGTGCGTGCATAGACTTGTTGTTGTTGTTGTTGTTGTTGTTGTTGTTGTTGTTGTTTTTCTTCACATTAAACTCGTGTCAGTTGCTATCCCAAAATCTAGCAAAGACTCGGTCCGTGGTCACAAAAATGCTAGAGCCATCAGAAGATCTAAAGAACACATGACAGCAGCTGACACAACAAGCCAGCAGCAGCCAAACATACACAACAGCTGCCAGGCTGCTGCCACGCTGCTCGGCGGCAGGCTACTAATGCTGTAATGCAGACGGTTGCTACTGCCATGAGCCAGCACGGAACGGATTGCTAGCCACCAAGCACTGCAGGTAGGTTCGTAGTAGCTGTGTGATGGCTGTGTGCTTCGGTTAGGAAGCACAGCGCAGCGTGGATGTACCCTCTCCTCCAAGCGTGTACATGGACAGGTACAACACACATCGTAGACGCAGTATACGGCATCGTCATCACTACACTTCCTGCTCGTATCTCTCTCTTGTCTCTATTTCTGCTCGAATACACGCTGTTTCTCTCGACTCTCGACTCTCGACTCTCGACTCTCGACTCGGACTTGCTCGACTGAATCAAATTGCTGCTGGGGAGCACGGGACAAATGCATACCCCGGACTTGAAAAATCTTCAGGCAAGGGGAGGGGGGGGCGCAACAGCTACGGACAAAAACTCCTGCTCCCCGGCCGAGGCCGAAATCGACCTAGTGAGTCCCTCGCGGGCGAACCAGGCTACAACAGATAGTTGGCGGGTGGTGTCCAAAGGTGCAACTCACCGCCGCGCTGGCTCAGCGTGGCGGTGAGGATGCACACACGGTGGTAGTGGTGAGAGATGTGCATGGACACTGTTCCCGCGGCAGTAATGTAAAGCGGCAAACTGCACCTGGCAACCACCGTCGCGGAAAGCGTGGCCCACGAAGCTGGAGGAGTAGAGAGATTCGTAAACACCAGGTCAGTAAGCACCGCTCGCGGGAGAAGGGAGACAACCGCGGGCACCGCGGGGAAGGAGTGCTGCACCCTCCTCGTCAGAACACCACAGGCAAGAACCGAGCTCTGCAGAGATGAATTGATGCGAGGAAACTCGCCGCTCGGAAAATACGGAAGAAAGCACACCCGCAACGCTAGGGGGACCGGGAGAGACACGAGACCGCAGCGGTCGTCAAGGCGGCTGCGAAGAAGAAGGCACGAGAGAGCGACCTATCGTTCGGCACATTCAACGTACGCACGCTCGCCTACAGCGGTAGGAACCCCATCGGTCACAACGTGATGACGGTCATGCAGACTTGTTCCGCTTCCGGCTGTGATGTGATAGGACTTCAGGAGACCCGACGAGCGGGGCAAGGTTCAATTGCACACGACGGGTACGTGATCATTTGGAGTGGCGCCCGTGCTGGCACCAAGGACAAGAGGGGCGTACACGGTGTGGGCATAGCGATCAAGGAGGCCATGTGGGAGAGTGTGGGCGAGGAAGGTAGGACGGTGGAGTGCATTAGCCCGAGGCTGATGAAGGTGCGTCTACAAATTGGCCGCACCTGCGGAGTAACTTTCGTGGTGGGGTACGCCCCCACGGAAACTGTCCGCACCACCGCGGGCGGTGATGTTAACGCCAAGGACTCCTTCTGGACTGCTCTCGACGCAGCGATCCGGGAGGTTCACAGCCGTGACCAACTCGTGGGGCTAATGGACGCCAACGCACGCACTGGTAGGAGGCGAGACGGGTGCTGCGATGCCAAGATTATGGGCGCGTACGGACGCGACATTATGAACATTAAGGGGGAACGACTCCGNAAATTGGCCGCACCTGCGGAGTAACTTTCGTGGTGGGGTACGCCCCCACATAAACTATCCGCACCACCGCGGGTGGTGATGTTAACGCCAAGGACTCCTTCTGGACTGCTCTCGACGCAGCGATCCGGGAGGTTCACAGCCGTGACCATCTCGTGGTGCTAATGGACGCCAACGCACGCACCGGTAGGAGGCGAGACGGGTGCTGCGATGCCAAGATTATGGGCGCGTACGGACGCGACATTATGAACAACAACGGGGAACGACTCCTTGGACTGGCATCAGACAACCAACTCTCCCTGACCAACGCCTACTTCCGGACACCGAAAGGTGGAGTGCAGCACACATTCCAGAGCTCCAACAAGGGAAAGGAGACGTACCGCCTTGATTTCATCCTCATGCGTCAGACGGACCGGCGTTTCGTACG